TTTTCCTGGGCTACCTTGTTCTGGTCTCTGCGCCCCTGCTGTTATCACAGGGGGGCCCTCACTGATCATGCACATGAGCAGCTCTCACTCCCAGCTCCAGGCACTGGCTGTATCACCTCCTTGCTTGCTTCCTGCAGCCCTGCCTTCTGTCTTGCTCACCTTGCACGCTGTCTGCGGGTGGTTGAATAGAGTGCTGGAAGCCTGCCTTCTTGGCTTTGCAGGGCCTGGATTTGCACCCTGGTCCCCTGGAGTGCCTCTCAGGGGGGCCTCCTCCTGCCTCTCTCCCTGTAGCAGCCAAGGCTGGAGCAAAGTTTCCCTCCACAGATGCATCTGCCCAGCACTTAGGTGCCAGGCATGCTCACTCTACCGGGATTGGGGGCGCCAACCCTGGGGCCTGCCTTCTCTTCCCATGCCCCATGTGGTGTCTTGCCCTCCTCTCCCTACCCCGGGTGCAGCCCTGCCCGCGTGTAAATGTCTCCTCCAGTTACAAGGGCCAGGCAGGTACCATACAGTTTTCAACACACCCAATATTGGGGGATAAATCACAACCAGCACTCAGCTTCAGGTTTTGGAAGACAATGGGAGCTGGGAACAACTGCGGGGAAGCTGCAGAACTCAGGCCCTGTCTAAACTGGGGCCTCCACACCGCTCCTCATGGTTGCCGCCTGGGAGCGTGGCTGATATGGTCTGACAGTGTGATTGTCTGTGTGGTGTGTGCGTGCGTGTGTAACCTCCAAATTTTCAAATACTGGTTGACAATTCCTTTTTTTTTGAGACAGCGTCTTGCTCTGTCACCCAGGCTGGAGTGCAGTTGTACAATTATAGCTCACTGCAGCCTTGATCTCCCAGGCTCAACCGATTCTCCTGCCTCAGCCTCCCAAGTAGCTGGGATTACAGATCCACACCACCACGCCTGGCTAATTTTTTTAAAAATTTTGTTTTGTAGAGATGGAGTCTGGCTATGTTGACCAGACTCACAATCCCATTTTTTAAACACTTTATAGGCCAAAGAAACCATGACTCTGGGCCTGATTTTGCCCACAGCCTCCGCTGGTGAGCTCTGCTCCAGGTGCTGCAGGCTTTGGGCTGGATTCAGCCTGCCTTGCTCATGTGGTCATTCCATGTGCCTCACATTTAAGGCAAGGAAACTTGGCTGTTGCAAGCTGTTGATGTTGCTTTGCCAGAGTAAGAAACAAAGACCAGCTGGTGGAGACCCCCAGTACTGGAAGATCTCAAGAGGAGAAAGGTGCCTGCTGGGGAGTGGTGGGAAAGGAAATCTGACCGATTAACTTTCCACTGATTGTAATTACGTAAATCCAAGATGCCAAAGAAGTAGAATATGTGGCCTTTAGATAAGGTACCATAAACCTGTCTTGGATAATTAACCTTTTTAAGAAGCAACCATGTTCGGTACTTAATATCTGAAAAGGTGTAACGTAGCAAGAGTGGGCTATAAAGAAAAGAGATGGAAAGTGCGGTTGCATTTCCCAATTCATGATGGTGGGCTGCAGCTAATTAATTCATAATGCCACTGAATTGATACTTCTTTATTTGTGTTCATGCAAATTACCTCTTAACTCATGTTAAAAGGCAAACATATTGAGCAAGTTGAACTTTCAAAAAAGCCAACGTTCATAGGAGACAGAATAATAACGGTTATGGTTGGTTATTCATGCTGCTATAGATAAGATTATTATGTCAACATTTCCATTTGAAACTCTTATTTTCAACAATTTATAACTTGGTCATAAAAAATAAAGATCCATTGTGCTCTAAGTGACTGTTACGGTTTCACCTGGGGAAAGATTATTTTTTGCCCCTCCAAGTTTAAAAATAGCTTTACTTAGCAGGTTAAAAGGTTATCATCTCACCAGGTTTACAAAATGGCATTCACTGTCTGGGCGGGCCAGGCCATCACCAGGGGCCGCTTCTCTCTGACCTGGCTGTTCCGAGCGTCCTTGTTGGCGTGATTCCCAGCTCACCAACTGCTGGGGATGGGGGTTTCTTCTCATTGATACTCACCTGCTCTTGTTTTTTGTTGTTATTTTCTTTTGAAACAGAGTCTCGCTTTGTCACCCAGGCTGGAGTTCAGTGGTGCAATCTTGGCTCACTGCAACCTCTGCCTCCCGGGTTCAAGTGATTCTCCTGCCTCAGTCTCCTGAGTAGCTGGGACTACAGGCACGTGCCAGCATGCCTGACTAATTTTTGTATTTTTGATAGAGATGGGGTTTCACCATGTTGGCCAGGCTGGTCTTAAACTCCTGACCTCAGGTGATCTGTCCACCTCAGCCTATCGAAGTACTGGGATTACAGGTGTGAGCCACCACGCCCGGCCTTGTTTGTACCTGCCCAGTGGCCTAAAAACTTTCCTCTTGAATATAGCCTTTTCTATCTTCTCTTTCCTTCCCCAAGACTCAGGAGACATGCATCCACTTATCTATCAATTCGATCGTTACTTATTCACTGAGCACATACAGGGGACAAGGTGTATGCTGCTGTGGGGACACAGGTGTGAGCAGAGAAGATATGGGAAAACTGAGAACTCCCTTGGAATTTCTCTAATATTCAGATGTAGATTTCATGGGGTGGGATGGGCAGAAGTCCATCTTTAGGTTCTTTAAAGGTGCTGATTACAGCCAGGTGTGGTGGTACACACTTGTAGTCTCAGCTATTTGGGAGGCAGAGACAGGAGGAGTGCTTGAGCCCAGGAGTTCAAGGCTGCAGTGACCTATGATTGCACCATTGCACTCTGGCCTGGGAGACAGAGCAAGACCCCGTCTCAAAAAAAATAAATAATAAACAGGCTGGGCTCAGTGGCTCACGTCTGTAATCCCAACACTTTGGGAGGCCAAGGCGGGTGGATCATGTGAGGTCAGGAGTTCAAGACCAACCTGGCCAACACGGCGAAAGCCCGTCTTTACTAAAAATACAAAAATTAGCCGGGCAGGGTGGCTCACACCTGCAGTCCCACCTATTTGGGAGGCTGAGGCATGAGAATCACTTGAACATGGGAGGCGGAAGTTGCAGTGAGGCAAGATCATGCCACTGCAGTTCATCCTGGGCGACAGAGTGAGACTCGGTCTCTAAATAAATAGATAAATAAATGTGCTGATTTGGCTCCAGCAGACACCATTAGCTTCCCACAGTAGTAAATAAGGCCAACTGTAAGTGAACAGGCAAAGAAAGAGACACCGTTGATTCAGATGGTGATGAAGTCAATAAATAAAAAAATAAAAATCGATGGAGTGACTGGGAGTGACAAGAGGTGTGAAGGGCGGAAAGATCAGGTGTCAAGTGGGTACCAATAACAAGTTCAGCTGGATTGTGCATGCTGGGAAGACAGGAGGCACCCAGGAGTGCTGGGGTACCAGGAGCAAGTATGGGAGAGTGGAAGATGGAGAAGGTGGAGGAGCTGGCCTAGAATTCCAAGTCACTTCCCTCTCTGAATCACAGGCATTAATACTTAGTGCTATTCCTCCCTATCCTGTCTTCCTTGTGTAGTTGAAATGGACGCAGGTGAGATTTGCTTTTCACTACTTCCCAAATGGAGGTAGATTGATGGATTGACATTTTAATTGTAAAAATAATAATATAAACTCAGTGTAAAAAAGATAACATAGGAAAACAAAGGGCAAAGTCAAAAATAGATGTTAATAAATCCACTATCCAAAAATAATGATTGTTAATATTTGATGCACATCTTGCTAGACCTTTTTGTTTGCAAACACAGACAGTTACTGACCTGCATACATGCATCCATTTAACAAAAACTTGATCATATACATCCTGATGTATAAGCTGCTTTTTTCACTTAATGCATTGAGTACCATTTACTATATCATTAAACACAGATCTATGATATAATTCTAAAACAGGGCAAAGCGATTTTATGGATGCATCCCCGTCTAACTTATCCTGCACAGCGGACAGGAAATCTGCAGATCATTTTTCATGATTATAAACAATCCTGCTATGAACGTCTTTGCACATTCATCTTCATGTACTTGTCTGATGCTTATTTTGAACACATTCCTGCAACCAGGGTGGTTGGGTAAAAGGCTCTGGGTTGTGAGTGCAAAACTGCAGAATCCCACACATAGAGGACATGGGGGTCCTCAGGCAGGCCTCATGGGAGAGCAGGAGAGCTGCCCTCACTGCCCGGGTGGACAGGGCTCCAGGGCCAGATATGCTGTCTCCAGGATCCCTGTACCTTGTCCGAAGTCCAGGGCTCCCGTGACCTCTGCCTTCCAGTGGCACCTGCAAATTAGACCCCATTCTCTTAGGGTCTGACTTGCCTTTGCACAAAAGTGCTGAGAAGGGACTGTTGGTGTCTGGCAAGGTATTTTCCTCTCCATGTAGCAAATCTACAAGAAAAGGGGGTTGGGCTAGAGTGCACCGACTGGGATCTGAGCTGAGAGGAAACCTAAGACTTGACCTCTAGAACTTTTAGATATTCACATTCCATTCCCTAGATAGCACAGATCTACCTAGAGCCCCTGTCTCTTGCAGGGCAAGCCAGGGGAATGAATGCCTCTCTCAGCAGGAGCCAAGAGAGGAGAGAAGCCTCTCTCCACGGATGCACCTGCCCAGTGCTCGGGTCCTAGGATATTGCTCCACCTGGATCAGCAGCATCGTCTCCTAGTGCCTGCCTTCTCCTCTCATGCCTCCAGGTGATCTCTTGTGTTCCTCACCCTTCCCGTCCCTCCTGACCCCGGGCACCTCCACGATCCCTTCTGCCCAGGCTTTTGGTTCCATCTCCCATCAGGGTCTCACTGACTGCACTCCATTCTCTCTCCGGAGCACAAGAGGCCTCATACGCATTTGCTGACCCCTTCAGCCAGCACAAATTTGCTGTCTCTCTCTGCGTGCCTAAAGTTCCATTAGAGGTGGAATAGAAGGAGCCCAGTCACTCTTACACAGCTGAGGACGCAGCAATACTTCTTTGTGGAGTACAAGACTCTATCCCTGCCTTAAGGAGTTTATTTGGTGGAGACAAGGCAGAGAAGGTAGGGCGGTTTATTCCAGCCTAAGAGAGGGCATCCACAGCACATCCCACAGCCGTCCACAGGAAGGGGACTAGAAATAGAACAGTAGCTGTAAAATACTCATCCACACACACTGAACACTGCCAGAGACCGTGCCAACATAACCGAGTTCAAGCCGGTGCCACGCACTGCATGACAGCCAGTACGTCAAAAGACAAGGAGTTGGGTCAAGGGAGGGAGCTTTGTTTTGGAGAGCCAGCAACTGAGAAGGTGGTGGGCCAGTGTCCTAAAGAACCATCTGAAGTTACTATGAATTTCAGCCTCCTTTTACGTGGGAGGAGGGGAGGGGGTTGAGGTTAGGATGTGACTGATGACAATGGACATCTGGGCAGCAGCGAGGGTCTGAGGGGCCTGGAGACGTGTTTGTCCTTGGTCGAGTCCTAGTGCTCATGTGCATCTTTAACACACAGTGTTGCTCATGGGATGCCCTCCTTATCTCCTTGGGGGTGAGCGTTTGGAAGGAACTGTGGTCCTCCTTGCTTTAAACTAGAAACAAAAGTCCTCCCACAGTTAGCTTGGTTTATGTGCAGAGATCAGCAAGAGCAGTTAACCTAGAAGATGTCACCACAGGGGGTGGGTTAGGAGCAAAGCACTCGTCACATGAAGGCTTCTTTTCACTGCTCCTCCAAGGGCACATTCTTGCCTTCCCCTTTATACACACTCCTGTAACCCCCATCTTGCCAGGAGGTTGGACGTGTCTCCAGGTCTGCCCAAGTTCACCAGGGCTTCCTGGAGGATGTGGAGTTTGTGCCGGACCTTGAACCAGAGGTGAATGAGGCAGAGGATGGAGGGGGCTCCAGGTTAGGCCCAACACAGGGCCAGGTGGGAAGGAGAGTAGCTTTGGCCTCTGCACAGAACCACCAGGTCCATGATCCAGTCTTGTCTCTTCCGCCATCCCCATCCCTTCCAGCTCTGGCATTCATGGAACAAATCATCAGTTATTTGGATTCAAATCTGACAAATTAAATAGCAAAGAATTAAATAAGTTGTAGATCAATACTATCTGAACGATCAATTAATCATTCTCTGTAATTAAAACTACCAATTCCTAACACCTTTCAGTTATATTTTATTGCACCATTTCTAATTCAGAGTTTTCGGGCAGTTGTATTGATTGCAGGTATACTTACCTGGCAATCAAATAATTTATTAATCAGCATACTTCATTATGGAATATCTGGTTTAATTACAGTCACATTGACTCAGAAGGCTGGTTAGGTCAGCCAGAGTTTTATTTTTATTTTATTTTACTTTTTTGAGACAGAGTTTTGCTCTCGCTGCTCAGGCTGGAGTGCAATGGCGTGATCTTGGCTCACTGAAGCCTCCATCTCCTGGGTTCAAGTGATTCTCCTGCCTCAGCCTCCCAAGTAGCTGGGATTACAGGCGCCCACCACCATGCCCAGCTAATTTTTTGTATTTTTAGTAGAGACAAGGTTTCACCACGTTGGTCAGGCTAGTCTTGAGATCCTGACCTCAGGTGATCCACCAGCCGTGGTCTCCCAAAGTGCTGGAATTACAGGCATGCGATATCCTGCCCAGCCCAACTTGAGTTTTGTTTTAAAGATGCTGGAGGTTTGCCATTACCTGGTTGTATACGTCACACAAAGTTCCTTCTTTTGTGAAAAATAATTGTAAAAAAATAGGTGTGTGTACTTAAAAGCAGGTACATGGATAAACTCCAGTGGTTCCTCAAAATTATGTTTTAACTGTAATCTTTTTCATGGAGGTTTTGCAACTTAATTTATTCCCAGCATACTTAGAAAAGTGCTCTCAAGATTCGGGGATGAAAAGGCCTTTGGGTAAATGGGTGCTGCCTTCATTAGTACCTTGAAATACAAATTAAATCCCAAGCACATCACAATTTGCTTTCCTGCATCTACCGATTTTGAAACAGCACAAATAAAATGTCTTATTTTCTTTGTGAATTTATTATTTCAACTGTTCATGCTGGACACCTGGTGGTTTGATTTAACTTCCCTTAATGTTTTGGGGCATCATTAGGAGAGGGAAATGAGGACCTGTAATTGTGTGTGCAGACCCTGCAGGGGCTCTGGGTGGGCTGGAGTCTCCTTCCTGCTCCCCTTGCTCACATTCAAGGTCCCCAGGGCTGTCTGGGGTTGTCTTGGAGACTCAGGGAGCCAGTTCCTCCCCAGGGAGAAGAGGGCTCTGGTGGGCTTCCCTCTGCAAAGACAGAACGTGGGCATCAGTCTCTGGATCTCGGCTTCTTCTGAGTGATGGGCAAAGCTTCCACAGAGGTGTTGAGCTGGGTCGCAGCTGAGTGGATCCAGCACTTCAGGCTTGAGAACAAGACGATTGAAGGTAGGGAGCCATGGGACCACTGAGAAGGACAGAGGCGGAGGTGGGAGGGGAGCAGAAACTAACATTACCACCTTCTCTGTCGTCTACAAACTGTCCAAGGACTTTCAGAGCCATACCCCTTCAACTTATCCCCCACCCCCCGAAATCTTCCTTCCCTCCAAAAAATGTTCAATTCTCCATCAAAACAATTCATCCTAGACCTGCCTCTCTCAGAGTACTCCTCACTCTGCAGGGAGAGCCGGGGGAAGTCCCTAACAGCATGCAGAAAGGATGGCAATTTGGAACACGGAGTGGATTACATGCCAAGGGCTTCCATGCAGTCACACGCTTACACACCTTCTACCCGTATCCTCACAGTGTCCTCCGGGAGTTCCAGCCAGCAGGTGAGCAGCCGGCCGGCATCATCCTAGCTCTACTTCCCCACTTGCTGGCTCTCGTTGTCCTTATTCTTGGAGAAAGAAAGTCCAAATTCTTAGCACAGTGTGCAAAGCATGAGTCCTCCAGGTCAGGGCCTGAATCAGGTTCTCTCTGAGTTCCCTCTGAGCCATAGCACTCTGTCCCACCAGCCCAGGACTCCCTGCCCCTCGTCCTTTCTTTCCTCCAGAGAACGTACCACCATCTCGTATATTACACGTTTGGTGGTTGTCTAGCTTCCGCAAGTAAAATATAAGGTCCTGGGAGCCACACACGTTTGACTGCTGTGTTCGCAGCTGTCTCTCTCATCAGTAGTGGACACACAGCTTTGCATATAGTCACTGTACACAAATCTTCTGAATGGATGAATGATCCATCTCCAAGAGCCCTTAATTACAATCACAACCAACTAACTTAGCAATTTGAAAGCCTTCTTTCATCTTCACAACCAACCTTTGAGATAGGTATTCTTATCTCCATCCTCAGACGAGGACACCAGGGCTCAGAGGGCATCAGTCACTTGCCCAAGTGACTCCAGCAATTGGAGGACTTGGGATCACACTTAGGCCGCCTGACTCAAGAGCCCAGGCTCTTGCAAAGTATTTGAAACAAATGAGTTCAATTAATTCCACAAATTTTCAGGGGGCACATAATACAATCCAGGTGTAAAAAATATTGGGGGACTTTTGGTGCTACTGCAGCAGCCTGCTTGGTAAGAGATGGATGTCTGGCTGATAGGGAAACTGATAGGGTTTTCAACAAAGCCTGAAATTAATCATACTTAATGAATGTGACTAATGTGATGAAAGAATGAGCGATTAAAATATTAGCACATCTGAACTTCTCCTCCCTGGCTAATTTCTTCTCCTCCCTAGGGTTACCATCTTTCAAAGAAGTAGGGGCACAGAATTACGGAAACGGGTTTTATGGAACACAAATGCCTTTTAAATGGCTTAGATTAAGGACAGTCTGTGCAGTTCTCAAGCGGCTGTCCATCTTCACATCTCGCTGCTCAAGTGAGGGACGTGGGCTGAGGGGAGAGGCTGAAACTGTCACGATGGCTGCAGCTGGAAATGGGAAGCCAGGCATTTCCCGGGGTAATTGTGTGGAAACAGGAGACAGGCGTGGGATCCCTTCAGCAGGGAGGTGGCTGCCTTTCTGTGTGGGCAAGTGGCTGGGAGGCATGTTCCCTGGGGACGAGGCAAAGGCATCTTAACTGCCTTTGCACATTATGCAGGATCACAGGCAGAATTACCCAGTGACAAATTTGTTTTGAGGATGACAAATGCAGAATCCTAGCACATTCGCCTTAGAGCTCCCCTCCCTATCCGCACCCCCTACACACATTGCCCAGATGAACACATCAAGACTAGGAAAGAGGGCTGGGCGTGGTGGTTCACACCTGTAATCCCAGCACTTTGGGAAGCTGTGGCGGGCGGATCACGTGAGGTCAAGAGTTTGAGACCAGCCTGGCCAACATGGCAAAACCCCATCTCTACTAAAAATACAAAAATTAGCTGGGCATGGTGGAACGTGCCTGTGATCCCAGCTACTCGGAAGGCTGAGGCAAAATTGTTTGAACCCAGGAGGCAGAGGTTGCAGTGAGCCGAGATCACACCACTGCACTCCAGCCTGGGCAACAGACCAAAACTTCGTCTCAAAAAACAAAACAAAACAAAAAAAAAACCAAAAAGACTGTAGGGAACAGGAAGTATCTAGACTACAATTCACACTAGGAGATTCCCCTGCGTATCGGTATTCTGCTCTGTCACTCTCTGGAATCAATCGATCATGCTTGTGCAAGGAATCATATAAACCTGAGGTCCCAAACTCGAGGCCTCAGCAGATGGGCAGGTAACGGAACTGAATGGATGCAGTGGGAAAGGACCTAGACCAGCAAGCAGGTACCTACCTTGGCTGACAGCACCCCATCGCCTTTCTCTATGTTGAGGACACGGGCCTCGAGTGGCTTAAAATAATGCAATTTTATTATTTTACCATTCTGGAGGTCTGAAGCCTAACATGGGTCTGTAGGGCTGCACTTCTTCTAGAGACTCTAAGGGAGACTGTTTCCTGTCCATTTCCAGCTCTACTTCTGCCTGCAGTCCCCTCCTCTGGCTCCACCCTCAAAGCCAGCAGTGTGGCATTTCTGTCCTCTCACCTCTCGCTTCCCGCCTCTAAGACCCTATGAACACGTTGCACCCACCCGGACAGTGCAGGAAGACTCTCTGATATGGTTTGGCTCTGTGTCCCCACCCAGATCTCACCTTGAATTGTTACAATCCCCTTGAATTGTAACCAAGGCGGGACCAGGCGGAGGTGATGGATCATGGGGGCGGTTTCCCCCATGTTGTTCTCATGATAGTGAGTTATCATGAGATCTGATAGTTTTATAAGGGGTTTCCCCCTTCGCTGGGCTCTTACTGTCTCTCCTTCCACCCTGTGAACAGGTCCCTCCTGCCATGATTGTAAATTTCCTGAGGGCGCCCCCAACCTGCCGTGCTGAGCTGTGAGTGAATTAAACCTCTTTTCTTTGTAAATTACCCAGTCTCAGGTATTTCTTCATAGCTTCATGACAAGGACTAATACACTCTCCCTATCTCAATCTCCAATCACAGCTACAACATTCCTTTGCCATATAAAGTAACATATTCCCAGGTTCCAGGGATTAGGCTGTGGACATTTTTGTGGCGAGGCATTATTCCATCTACCACAGTTTGTATGTGGGAATACTCACAATTCGTAAATGCTAGCAAATAATTCTGAAGTTCATAGCACTGTGTATGCCAGATCACCAGGTGTCTCTGGGCAGAAATGAGTGGGGAGAGAGTGAATCTCCAGTCCATGACTTCTGACCTCTGATTTAAACAGTATTTGTTAAAAGGAAGGCTTGGCGTCGTGCTTCCTCCTGCCTTGTTCATACATACGCATTGCTTGTCAGACTTCCAGAGAACTGAGAAGCTTACCAAGCATTTATGTTCCCAGGCCTGTGGCTATTTTTTCCCCTCAGTTTACAAAACTAACAATGTTTATTAAGCTCTCGTTGTATGCCAGTGTGCTAAGTATTTCACATGGATTCTTTCTTTTAATTTGCACAGCAATCTCATTTTTATCCCTGTTTTTTACAAATAAGAAATCTGACACTCAGTAACGTTGCCCAACATCACACAGGTAGTAAGGGGCAGAGCTGGCATGAAAGTCAGGCTGTCTGGCTCCAGAGTGAGCTGATACATGAAAGCTAAAACACTTCAGTTAAATAACAACCACTGCGGGGTTGCAGTGGTGTGCACCTGTAGTCCCAGCTACTCTGGAGGCTAAGGTAGGAGGATTGCTTGAGGCCAGGAGTTTGAGACCAGCCTGGGCAACATAGCAAGACCCTCATCTACCAAGTGGAACCCAGGTTGGCCTACAGAAGTCCAAGTTCCAGTATGCCTGCCACTCCTGGACATTGGCCTCCTCCTTCCACGAGAGGACAGATGTTCTGCTATACGGTTACCCTTCTCTCTGCTGCAACACTGGACTAGAACCACTACCAGATGGGTTCTTATCAATGTGTCTTTGGGCAGGTCATTTGTCTTCTCTGAGTCTTAGTTTCTTCATCTAGAAAATAGAAAGTTATTATTATTATGGATATTTACATACTGGGTGCCAGGCACAGTCCTAGGCATTTTACATATATTAATCCATTTCATCCTTAAAATAACTCTCTAGGGTAGACCCTGTTATTATCTTTGTTTTACAAGAGAAAGACTGAGAGGCACACACAGAGATTAAATAACTCGCCCTAGGACACAGCTAGTGAGTGGTGAAACTAAAATTGAACGCAGGAAGTCTGGAGATAATTCCTATTCTGTTCACCCAACTGGGACATTGTGAAGGTTTTGTGAAGACTCTTTCATTCATTCATTCACTCGTTCATTCATTCATTTTTCATTTACTCTTACCAACTCAGAGGACAGTTGCGATATTATTTCATGTGAAGCACTCAAACCATGCATGGTGTGTGACAACTTCTCTGGAAATGTCTTTTATCCTAAGGTTGTTGCCAGGGGAGAGCACTGAGCCAGCTGTGTGATGAGCCTGGCCAGGGTGGCCCCTGAGGAGGCAGCCCCCAGTCTTGAGAGTACAATATAATCCCTTGGGCTATAAGGGTGGGAAAAGCCCAGGCCCTAAGAGGAGTCATAGGAAGGTCAAAGGGGAAAACTGTCAGTACACTTTGGACGTGGCGTGAGGAATAACGGTGAGTCAGCAAGGATCAAGGGAAGGCTTCTTAGAGGAGGTGGCATTTCAGATAAAAACACCCCCACCAAAAAAAACTTGGTGCTGCCTGTGTGCTGGGCCTGCTTGTAGGTGCTTTACATGTTTCAGTACATTTACTCCTCCCAGTAACTTTACAACACACATGGCATCATTACTGCCCCCATTTGGCAGGTGAGGAAACTGAGGCACAGAGAGGTGAAGGAACTTGCCCAGATCACAGAGCCCATGCACAGCACAGAGCCAATTCTGTGCACTGCTTATATTAACATTTACTTAATATTTAAATCATTTTTGACCTAAATAAATGAAAAACTTTATCTCAGTATAATACAGAATAGAAAACCAGGATGGAAAGAAAATCAATACTATGAACCATACAATGAAATCACTCTAGACTCAGTTGTCTGATAAGAGCTTCTAATTCAAGATCTTTTCTGTTAAAAGTGGGAGATAAGTGTAGAGAGGAATTAAAGATATATTAGGATCAAACTGAGGCCAAGTGCATTGGCTCATGCCTATAATCCCAGTACTTTGGGAGGCGGAGACAGGATTCCTTGAGGCCAGGAGTTTGAGACTGGACTAGGCAATATAGTGAGACCCCATCTGTACGTGTGTGTGTGTGTGTGTGTGTGTGTGTTTTAATTAAAGATGTATTAGTACCAAACTGAGACTTTCTCATTGGTGCAATCAGGATTGAAAGAGAAAAACAAAACAAAACAAAACAAAAACGTTCTCACGATGTGATGGAAGGTGAATGAGCCAACTCTGCATCCTCTAAAATTCTAAAATCTTACTTGGGGAAACAGTGGTGTCACTGAAGAGCCCAGACTCAGGAGACAGATTACCCTGCTTCACATCTTGCTGGCTATCCAGTCCCGGGAAAAGAATCTCTCTAAACCGCGGTTTCTTCACGGGCAAAATGCTGATACTAATACCTCTGACTTTATAGAGACTTTGATAACAAATGAAAGAAGGTAGGTATAATAAAACACAAAACCAAATACACTTGCTTAATAAACATAATCCATTAGCATTATCGAGTTTTGCACAGATGCCTCTGGCCTTTTTGCTGTTGTTGCTGTTAGACGAAGATAATAAAAATCATCATAGTAAAAACATAGCGATTACTATATGCTGGACTTTGTCCTAGTTGAGATATATTACCATCCTAAGTTAAACTATAATCGTTTATTGTTATCTTTAGGTCTTCCTAGATGAAATTTTTACTCTAAAGGATCGTAAAGTCGGCCCATCGGACGTCACTGGGGTCCCCTGTTCAGCCCTGTCTTTCTTCTGGGCATCTCTCCGGACACAGACCAAGTGGCACCCGGACTGACAGGTGGGCCGAAAGCCCCGCCCCCAGCGAGGGGTAGCCGCGTTCCCCGGCGCAGCGCCTCTACAGGTTTGCCCCGCCCTGCAGGACTTACTTTCCGGCGGCGCGCTGACGCCACGCGTCCCGCGCCTCTTCGCGCCTGCGCCGTGGTTGGAAGGTCGTCTCTGTGACCGGCTTGGGGGTTGGATCAGCTGTCGCCATGTTGTCGGTCGCAGCCCGCTCGGGCCCGTTCGCGCCCGTCCTGTCGGCCACGTCCCGCGGGGTGGCGGGCGCGCTGCGGCCCTTGGTGCAGGCCACGGTGCCCGCCACCCCGGAGCCGCCTGTGCTGGACCTGAAGCGGCCCTTCCTCAGCCGGGAGTCGCTGAGCGGCCAGGCCGTGCGCCGGCCTTTGGTCGCCTCCGTGGGCCTCAATGGTGAGCCGGGGCGAGGGCCGCGAGCGGGGCTGAGGGTCTCTCGGTGCCCGCTCCTCTGGTCCCCAGCAGGGAGCGGCCGCGGGTGCGCGAGCGGAGCCTGAATCAGGTCGGGCTGGGCGGCCTCCGCGACGCTGGGCCTGGCACCCGGGCCCGGGTTGTCTTTCGGGGGCCGGCCTGGACTCGCGTCCGCCGGCTCCGCCTGGTTCCTCCTCGGCCGAGTTCACGAGCTCTGCAGTCCCGCTGCTCCAGCCACCTCTGAGGGGTTTTGTTGCTTGCAGGTCGTTTGACCTTGGGCAAGTTTCTAAACCTACTTCCTGTGAAATGGATTCATATCTTTACCAATTTTGTAGGGGTGTCGTGAGGCTTAGATGGAGGAATTCTACGTAAAGCCGTTAGCACAGTTTGGGCACTTACATGCTTAAGAAGTGGAAACTTACTAATACTTGGGAAGTTGGTCTTCTCACCACTACCGACCCCTTCAGTGTCCTTCCCCTTCACCCCACCACCAAAAAACAAAAAACAAAAAAAAAACAGACATACACAAGGTCAGTTACAGTGTAGTGTCGCAACATAATCAGTCCTCAAGAATGGGCAGAGATGGATGACTTTTACATTTTACAGATGAGAAAACAGATGAGGTAGACTAACTCGCACCAGTGATCCGTGGTGTGGACATGTGGTAGCAGGGATTTGACAAGACGGATTGTCGTAGCCACTGAGCTCTTCGCAGGGGCTGTTCTACACCCTCTGTCCTTAGATCCCGGTTTATCTTCTTTGCCTCGCCTTCCATCTTTACTTGGCCCGGTATCGGAGATAGAGAAATGGCAGCCTGTGGGCAGTGTGCCTGCAGGCTTTGTAGTTTTCAGAAAAACTGTAAAGACTAACGCCATCTCTTAAAATGCTGGAAGCTGGCAATACTGGGATCTAGTTTCTACTTGGGAAAAGTCCATAGTGTGCTGTGTAGTGGCCGTCCCCACAGTTGGAACAAGTGGCCTTCTCCAGTTTGTCACAGTCTTTACCAGGTCTGCGTGTTTCATTGTGTTACCAGCCTGGCTCCATTGATAGCTGTGTGTGACTCTTCCCCTACGGGCTAACCAAATTGCCGGACACTTTTCTTTTTACTCTGCCTTCACTCACCCTGGGCTCTGCACTTTCTCCATGGTCCTTCCACTAAGTTGCTACATGTCCACATGTTTTCCTTACCCATCTTTTCAATCTCAGTTAAGGATCAGGTGAATAAAGTTTGTATTTGCTGATTTGTCTGTCTTTATAGCACATACGCTTTACACTCTGTATTGTGTTTATTGGTAACTCCTCCAACCTTGGGCTTAAGGGCATAGAAAAGGTAATGTCTTCTTTATTTTTCTATCTTTCACAACGTCGGATTTCGTGTACAGTTAGTGCAAAGTATTTGTGAATGAATATTTGTTAAGGGGCACCAGTGGGTTTTGAAGAAACTGTCCATGGCGGGTGTAGAGTACCCTAGCCGATCCTTGGGACCTGGAGGTGAGAAGGAAGGAAGGAGAACATTTCAATAGCAACAGAAAAGCATCTTTGGAATTTGTCGTATTGCTAGAGTTTCTTCAAAAAATTGGAGGCTCACTTGACTTAGGAAATTTTTTTTAGAAACAGGCAAATAATGTAGGACCATGAGGCAAAAACCTTTTCTGTAATCATTTCAGCCTGTAATTTAAGTTCACATTATAACCTGTCTAGGTGGTTTATGGAAAGATGGTTAATGGAAGGGGAGGGGTTGGATCTGGAGAAGATTGTTGAGTTGGAGAGGAAGGTTGTACTATTTTCTTGCAGATTTCCAAGGCGCATTGGAGCTCACCTTAAAACTTGTTTTGTTAAAATTCCTTAAATTTTATCCTTTAAGTGTTTGATTTTGCTTTAGGTTAGAATTAAATCTAGCTTCTTACTAAAAGGCAGAGCTAATGCAGCTCATGTAAGTATTTGGAGAATGGTTTATGCAATAGGGCAATTTAATTTCTGAAAGGATTCTTGGTGGTGTAGCCTACTAAAGTGTAACCAGCTAGGTAAGAGTGGGAGGAGACTTTTGCCACCTAATCTCTGAATGAGAAGTGCAAAGCCATTTTATTGAATTTTCTTATACATTTCCTTGAATAGTGTTAAGGATTGTGGATACTGATTTTAATGTAGAAGTATGAGCTTTTGATTCCTTTATCTCTTAGGTAGGAAACACATCTTTTCTGTAATCCCAGGTAGAGCTAGGAGCAAGTAATTTATGCTTAATTCCAAATGTCAGTGTGTACTGGCAGGTTAGCATTTATTTGTTAGAGTAGTAGTATAGGATGTAATGTGACTTTGACGCCACAGATTCTGGGATGTGAATCTCAAGTTGCCATTATCTGTGTCCTGGTCTTCTTCAGGAAATGATTGAGTTAGTCAGAAAAGCATATAGAGTGATTTTGATAGGTTTCACTATTGTTTGTGAATACTTCTGGCTTCCATAAAGTTATTGACTTGAGAATCATGTGAAAAGCAGTTCAAGTATTCCGTATTGTAATGTTTGACTACTCAAGGAAGTACAGTATATTAGCAAGATATCCTAGTAGAAGAAGGTAGAATTGCAGTTTATTACGTTAAAAATGCATCTTAAAAGAAATCTTTGTTTTGGAAACACGTTTTCTAAAAGAGGAATTTTTAGTGTATTAGCAAGATATCCTAGTAGAAGAAGCTGTAGAATTGTTTATTACTGCTAAAATGCATCTTAAAAGAAATCTTTGTTTTGAAACACGTTTAAAAAGAGGAATTTTAGTGCCCCCTCTTTTTTTTTTTTTTTTTTTTTTGTTTTGAGACGGAGTCTCGCTCTGTCGCCCAGGCAGGAGTGCAGTGGCCGGATCTCAGCTCACTGCAAGCTCCACCTCCCGGGTTCACACCATTCTCCTGCCTCAGCCTCCTGAGCAGCTGGGACTACAGGCGCCCGCCACCTCGCCCGGCTAGTTTTTTTGTATTTTTTAGTAGAGACAGGGTTTCACTGGGTTAGCAAGGATGGTTTCGATCTCCTGACCTCGTGATCCGCCCGTCTCGGCCTCCCAAAGTGCTGGGATTACAGGCTTGAGCCACCGCTCCCGGCCAGTGTCCCCTTTTTTAAAAAAGGAAACTTTGTGGCAAATTTCTTAAGATGAATGTACAATCTGCAAAGAGGTTTGCTTCCTGATACATACAAAGGTGGTACTAGTTAAAAAAGTTTTTTGGTCAGGTATTTAAAAATAGTATGGGAGAGAAGGATGTAACTGTGTCGTGTTTTTGTTTTTTAAACTACCAAAGAAACTACTTGCTCCCAAAGTACTACATAGTAATTATTTAGCATTCATTTGGGCTCTTTTATGGCCTACACTAGAAGTGCCCCAGTTGAGAGAGCTACAGCAGTGAAAAGGAAAGATAATACCCCTGCTTTTACAGTAACTGTTGCCCTTTAGTGAATAGGGGGAGATATGAAAATTTTGTCCTTTTTTCCCCTCGCTAAATTGAAATAATTAGTTCTTTTGTAGATTTCATTGTATTTTGAGAGCTCTGATAAGGATGTCTTTCTCTGCTTATTAGTGGTTTTAAGTTAAAGTAATACTGTTTGTACCCTAGAGTATAAAATAGAAACCTTAATTTTTCTGCAACTGGAGTTATACAGTTCACAGGATGTTTATTATTGTGTCATTATTGTTTTATGAATTGTTAACAGTTTTTTACCGAGAATATAGATTGGACTATAAGGGGTGGACATTTGCATTAATAAGGATCACACGTCAACTTACTGTGTGGACTAGATGAGTTTTAGGGCCTCCTTCTAATCCAGAGAGTATGGGAGGTATTTAGCATGATTTATATAGCATGTCTTGGCAGTTGAATTTTCGGAAACTTTGAAGTATTACTGTTTATTTTGCTGTTTAACGTTTTTAGCGCGATGCACTGAGATGTTGTGAATCCTGAATCAGCAATGTTCAACCAACCAGGAGTAGCTCAATTTACAAATAGTATCTTGTGATTTCATACCAATCTGATAGGTAGTGGTTCACTTCATTTCATTTTTGAGATTTTATATGCTAGCACCGCCAATTTGACTTGTTCTGAGACCCAGTGAGTGCCATGTTTCACATTTTTAGAATTTGATTTTTTACCTGTGGATCCATAAAAGACTGTTTCTTGATGTATACTCCTTTCAGGATACTCATCTAATTGTGTTTTTTAACCTTCTGCTTGTCTTGCAGTCCCTGCTTCTGTTTGTTATTCCCACACAGACGTCAAGGTGCCTGACTTCTATGACTACCGCCGCCTTGAAGTTTTAGATAGTACGAAGTCTTCCAGAGAGAGCAGCGAGGCTAGGAAAGGTTTCTCCTATTTGGTAACTGCAGTAACTACTGTAGGTGTTGCATATGCTGCCAAGAATGTCGTCACCCAGTTCATTTCTAGCATGAGTGCTTCTGCTGATGTGTTGGCCATGGCGAAAATCGAAATCAACTTATCCGATATTCCAGAAGGCAAGAACATGGCTTTCAAGTGGAGAGGCAAACCCCTGTTTGTGCGTCATAGAACCCAGAAGGAAATTGAGCAGGAAGCTGCAGTTGAATTGTCCCAGTTGAGGGACCCACAGCATGATCTAGATCGAGTAAAGAAACCTGAATGGGTTATCCTGATAGGCGTTTGCACTCATCTTGGTTGTGTACCCATTGCAAATGCAGGAGATTTTGGTGGTTATTACTGCCCTTGCCATGGGTCACATTATGATGCATCTGGCAGGATCAGATTGGGCCCTGCTCCTCTCAACCTTGAAGTCCCCCCATATGAGTTCACCAGGGATGATATGGTGGTTGTTGGTTAGAGACTTGGACTCAAGTCATAGGCTTCTTTCAGTCTTTATGTCACCTTAGAAGACTTATTTGAGAGCAAGCCTTCTGTACCTGAAGTTGATTTGAAATATGTAAGAACTGATGATGTGTTTGCAACATTAATGTGAAGTAAATTGAATTTAATGTTGAATACTTTCAAGCATTCACTTAATAAAGCCACTGTTAAGCATTGTTGTGCTCAGTTATACACTTGAAAGGTACAATGTCTTTTAGCTAATTCTAATTAAAAATTACAGACTGGTGTACAATATACTTGTGAAATCTGTAACAGACTTTATCTTTTTGCCCACATATTTGCTTCCTGCTTTGCATCAGGGACACAGATTCTGCAAAGCTCATTGTTGGGATGAAGTAAAATTAACGTGTCATCTCTTAAGTCCTGGGAGGTATCTATGGCATTAACAGAAACAGTAGTATCTAGGTATTTCTTATTCACCGGACCTGGTAAGGGTACTTGCTATGCGTTTCCTCCCTACTGTGTAAGCTGTGTGATAATGTCAGCTCTAATCTGGGAAAGAGTCCTGAATGAGGCATTAGTAGCTCTGAGGGTTTATCTTCAGGTCTGGTCTGCTGGTTTTTCTCCTTAAGTGACAGGCCAGGAAGTTTTATTAGTCCCTTATGAGTGTAAATTAATACTTAAAAATCCTTTAGTATTAATAGGCAGTGATGGGATATTATCTGAGAGAAGCTTTCCAAAATGAGAGTGCTCTGCCATTTCTTTCATTTCGTGTGTGGATCGTTATGTCCCCAAAGCTCCTGCATCCACTCTATCAGGAGGCAGAAAGGGAGCGTCTGAGACCTAACATTGCCTGCATGCAGAAGTGGTCCTGCTGGGTTTGTTTCTGTAGTGATGACACAATGTTTTTTCCTGTTGGGTTTACAGTCACTCAGCACTTTTCACTGTAAGATGGTGTGGAACCAGACGCAGAGCACATCAGAATTCACATCCTATTTTCTTCTGCCTCCAATTATGCAGGTGAAACAAGACTCAGGTCTACTTTCTCCTGGGATATGGGAGTGGGCTTTGTCCTTTGAGAATCACAGCCACTTTTTGATGCGTTTGTCTTTACTGTTTGGAGGTGGGCCAGTCATATGCTTTACTGAGTCCACCTGATGATCTCATGTACTTTTTTAAAATTGCAAAAGTGGTTAGGTTAGGTCTGCCCAAAGGGAACTGACCATCCAGGATTCCAGTCTTTGAAGTTAATAGCTATGTGTTGACAGAAAAAAGAAAATGTCAAACTTTCTATGCTTGTGAGTAGATAATAGTCTTTGCTTCATTTTTACCATTCTAGAAATGAAATTAGCATGTGTGATAATTGGTGGGACACAGAAGTATTTTATATTCTGTGTCTCTAGATAGTGGAGGCCCTCTTTGGATTGGGGGTTGGAGGAGGGGTTGGTGGCAAGAATTGGAATGTGAAACATTGAGTTGTGATGGGAACACAGGTCCACACACTAAAACACTTGTGCTGCTAAAAATGTCAACAGCATCCCTCCCTATAAATACTGATACCCCTTATCACCTCCCACCCCGAAGTGATACCTTGAAATTCTATATGGCAGTGGAGGACAGAAGTAGGAAGTTTGCAGGTCCCTAAGGTACTCAGTGCCGGAATTGCTGTATTTGGTGGCTGCTTGCTTCATCTATCATATTTAGAGTTGGATGGTGGGGTGCTGTTAAATCCTAGTAGCCCATTTAGTTTTTAAAGAAGGCTTTGTTCCACAAGCGACAGGGCAAGTCAAGTCACTTCATGCTACTTTGCTGAATGGATACGGCAGACCTGTGTTACATTTTTACCATTCTGTGAAAACAAAATCGTAGATATTAGGGGGAAATGACTTATAGAATAAACCTGACCAGTCAGCACCCTGACATCAGATCATTTACATGTACTGCATTTTATTGGGGATGATTCTTGGGACAATCTTGAGAGCCAAGGTTTTTCATTACGCTTTAAAAAGTGTTATAAAAATGGCCTTTTTGAAAATGTTGCATTATTTGTTAAAGATAACATCAAATTTTCTTTGGTCTTTTCTGAGTATACCCTTGTAAAATCTTTGACTCAATCTGACTGTGTAGAGGGCATTTGTCCTGATTGAATCAAAATGTGCTTTAGTACCCTCATTTTTCTAAACTGTAGAAACATAGTATTTAAATATCAGAAGTAATTCTTCATTCTCACAGTATTAAATTTCATTTTCTGTATTTTCATGTCATTTGAATTTCATTGCATTTTATATATTAACCCAAAATAATGTTTGTATTTTTTGGACTGCTATCCTTAGCCCACTGTTCTAACACACTTTATCACCACCTCCCCTCAACCACTTCCCTGAGTTTCATGTTCTTGTGCTTACTGGGCATCTATGTTTGGATGTCCTGTTAACACCTTAAACTGTCTGAAATGAAAAGACGTCATCTCTGTTTCCCACGAACCAGCTTCTCTACTTCAGTCAGTGCCCTCTCTTCTACCTTGTTAACTACCCGGCAAAGCGAAAAACCTGCTAGTCTTCCCTGCCTCGTTTCCATTATTTCCTCTCCACTTTGCCCCAAATCAGTCCCCTAGTTCTGCCAATTTACTCTTTTTTTTTTTTTTTTTTTTTTTTTTTGAGACAGAGTCTCACTGTTGCTCACGCTGGAGTACAATGGCGTGATCTTGGCTCACTGCAACCTCCACCTCCCAGGTTCAAGCGATTCTCCTGTCTCAGCCTCCTGAGTACCTGGGATTACAGGCATACGCTGCCATGCCTGGTTAATATTTTGTATTTTAGTAGAGATGGGGTGTCACCGTGTTGCCCAGGCTGGTTTCGAACCCCTGAGCTCAGGGAATCCACCTGCCTCAGCCTCCCAAAATGCTGGGATTACAGGCCTGAGTCACTGCATCCAGCCCACTAAGTTACTTGTAATAAGACCATTACTGTCTGTGTCATCTGTAACATTCTAATAATGGCTAATTTTTTGAGCACCCATTACTGACCATTATTAGGCTAAGTGTATGTTAAGTATATGGTCTCTCTTAATCTTTAAGAAACCCAGAATGTCAGGTAATGTTGCTATTTCTAGTTTACAGATGGGGAAACTGAGGCACACCAAAGTTTCTTTTCTACAACCATACCTGGTAGGTTTATTGAGCCAAAATTTTTATTTTAACCCAGGGAGTCTCAAGTCCAGAGCCTATGACCTGATCCCCATTTTATACTCTAGTGTTTTAATTGAGGCTTTGTTAAGTCTTGCCTAGTCTACTGCAGTAAAATTCCAGATAGATCTTTTCTCCAATTCTGTCCCCATAAAATTTGTCCTCCATGTAGCTGCCAAGTAGTGTGGAGGTTAAGAATATGACATTGGTTTTGGATTCCAGTCCTGGCTCTGCCATTTCCTAGATGTGTGACCTGACATAAATTATTCAATCCATTCCTCTTCCTTCATCTGAAAAATAATACCCACTCAGGGTTGTTTTAGGAAGTAGCACGTTAGTAAGTGTCAAGGGATATGTCAAAACTCCTTATACAAGGTCCTCACCTGCATCCCATCAGTACACCCCTTGCTCTAGTAACAGAATTTACTTGTAACCTACATTCTTTGTCGTTTTCTCCCAGTCTCTTCCCAAGCTATCCCTTCTGCCTGTCTCCCTCTTCTTATCTTTATTTTAGCTATTTCATCCACTGCCTGCCTATCTGCTTAGGCGCAGCGCCCTGCAGGAAGCCTTCCCTGTCTCAGAGGCCCTTTCCCAGTTAAGTTTTTCCAAAATAACCAGGAAATATCCATTGTGGTATTTATATTAACCTCTTTTGTAAAGCTCACGTTTCTGGTTTGTCTCCCCTCTACCACCAGACGGAGGGCTGAGGCCCATGGCAACTACTCAGCCATGGAGTTGTGTGCTCTAAATGAAAAAAAAAAAAAAAAGAATTTCTGAGTGGCATTTGAAAGGAAGATTTTCCAAAGAGTATTGTGTAAACATCAGGACTGAAACAAAAAAGAAGAAAAAAATTAGTGTATCTCATCTTTCCAGGACTTTAGGTCGGAGGAGATATTACAGTATATTTTGGATTTAAATTTAAACCATTCCCATAAGAAAAACTTGAAAAGCATAAATAATGAATTCAAGATCTTAAAAACTGAGATTTTACTTTAGTTATGTTTGTTTTGTAATTAATGTTCTGCCTGTATAAGACTTCAATGTCAAAAGGTCTGTCCTTTAGTATTTTCAAAACTTGTAAATGCAATGGATGTCATTTCATTTAATTTTACCATTTTATCTGTCTTACTCATTTTCCATCCTGGGATTTAGGAGGGGAACATTTTGATTAGAGAGGAAAAATATTACCAAGCAGGTGAACTGATCAGTTCTCTTCTGAGATAGGAAGGAGTCAGGATGATTTTCTTTTTCAGTACTCGGCACTATTTTTTGGAGTTTAACAATGTCCTAAACACAGTACTGCCAGGAATATGAGGTTAAGATGGTTTCTAGTCCAGATACTTAAAGAAGACCTAAATACACCACAAAAAGAAGACTATTCAAGTGCTTGCTTCTGTGAGTGCTTATGAAATAGATTATTATAGATCGGAAATCTCTGGTCTGTGGCACAAGATTAAAATTAACTTTGTGGAGGGCTTCAGCAATATCTCTGTAATAACTCCGCCATAATGATCAACCTAAGACTGGTCTATCAGTGAACTGAAAATCCTAAATTCAATAAACTACACTTTATATTTTTGCAGTTATTATCCTAAACTTGGATCAATTTGAGTGCAAAACCTTAACCATCATCTGGCTTTTGAAATCCTTTTTTATTAGAATATTTGCAAATAAATGAAAATATCTGAGTAATAGGTTTTCATACATTTTTAAAAGGGGAGACAAAACGTTGGTTTCTTAATGGAAGGGAGAAGAGAGCTAGTGCATTTCACAAAATTGGCCTGTCTAGAGTGAGTATCTGAAATCTGCCATTTTCTCCACTGGGGCATGGCTGAAATTTTAACTCGTGCCTTTTGCTTTATCTGAGGGAATACTTGCTTTCTTAGCTCTCGCCTCAAGGCACACTCTGCTGTGGCCCCTTTCAGCCCTTTAGAGAGACAAGGCATTCCTGGGTCCCCAGTTCATCTCAGTACATGAAAATCAGGTTAGAGGCAGTGTTCCTCTTAGTGACGGATTATCTGTTAGACCATTTTAAATATAAATTTCAAATGAGATAGTGTGTAGAAAAGGTATATCAACAGTAAAACGACACAAATGCACAAAGCATTATTT